CCTCTGAGGAGTCCTGCTGATCAGCAGCCGGCATCTATTTTATGCCCTTGCCTTCAGGTGAAGGTAGGCAGAATGGCAAGTAGTTATTCTTTACAGGTTATTGTGAATAAAGTGCAGCAAATCAGTCCTCTGCAGTGAAATAACAGGACCAGACACGACACTGAAAAATAAAAATCAAGTTCATGAAAGTGAAAGAAATGTTACGAACGTTTCTGGGCACTTTGAAACACACCAAGAAGCTTATTGTTGAGATAAAGGTTCCAAGCCAGGATTGCAGGCCAGTGATGTTAACGCAGACTTTGCCTGGGGACTGACCTTTGCAGCAATTAAATTGGCTGTAGCTATTTCAAGAGCTGATTGGGCTTATGACACTCAAAGTTAGAAAGAGAGCTAAACTGTTGCAGGAAGGTGAGTGGGCAGTGTTGCCTGAATATAAATCAGCTCCTTTCCCATCTGGTTCAAAGCTTCTGCCCTAGCAGACCCCTTTTCTAGCCTTTTTTTCCCAAGATGCAGCTCAGAGGCCAGAGTGTCTGCAGATCGCTGTTCAGTGTAGCACAGGTCACCCTGGGAGCGTCTGTGATGTCCAAGCAGGAGATAATTGTGAATGATTATACAAATTCACTTAGAAGACAGAAGAGGAGCCTGGAAGATAAGCTCTGCTGAAGGATAGATGTTGTTAGAAGGCCCAGAGGGTAGATGAAGTACGGCAAGTCCAGGGGAAGGCCAGAAGGCTCTGCGAGGGCGGTGTCAGTGCCCAAATGAAAAATGAAAAAGCTGATATAATCCAGAGAGGTGGCTGGCAAGGACAGAGGCTAGGGTCACTCTGGTGTGTTGTCTAGGCCCAGTTTTGATGAATGATGGCAAGAACTAAGACAGTGTGATGCTACTGGTAGCATAGCTTTTCTAAGTAGAATCTCACTCCCTGGAAGGCATTGTTGATTTGCTCTGGTCTGTCTTTGTGATATTTTCCTGGGAGTAAGACTTACTATGCAGAGGAGCTTCAGATCTGCATGGCAGGTATTGCTCAAAGACATAGTGTCTCTTAGCTTAAACAGTTAAAAAGAGAGGATATGAAATCTAAGAGTATATAATGGGTAATCACTGCAGAGGAAGAAGTGCCATCCAAAATGACAGAAGGGTGGAGCTGTGTGTAAAAGCAGTGAGACAGATCTGAGCAAATTCAGCCTTAGGCTGGGTATCCGAGACAATGCCACAGCAGAATACTTTCATCAGACAAATTAATAACTTCCCCTACCCCAGCTTTGTGGAACTCTTGTAAGAGTGTTGTTGCTGTTGGAAATGAAAACACTGTACTGCCCATTTGCAGGTGGAAGCAGCTCTGTGCTTACAGACCGGGAGCTATTTTAGAATTCTTGGTAATATCCAGACGGCTTCTGCAGCTGGAAATAGCATCAAGGTCTTTTGAGAAACAAATGTTTCATACTGTAGGAAACACACAGGCTCAGACTAAGGAGAACTGTAGACTGGATTCCATCTTCTCAAATGACAATCTACATCATGTATATAGGCAACACTACATTCCTTTTCACGCGTATGCTGCAGCACCAGGGTACAGACAAGATATTCCATGCCTCATTGTTCTGTTGTTTGTTTTCTTTTAACAGACCTGTGCAAAGATTTTGCTTCCCTTTCTTGTCCCCATGTGGCAGCCGCTCTTATGCAAGTGAAGTCGATCAGGTGAGTGTGATTGTGGTTTCCAGGAACTAGTTCTGCTGAGATGGGTTTTAAAATCCCTGAAGCCTGGTGACCAAATTCTTCTTTCCGATTTGCCAGAAAGACTCCGAGCTGGACCTCTCCAACATACTCCACATTCTTTCCTAGCATAGAGCTTCCATTGACGTAGCACAGTACATGCTGCTAAGGATGGAAATAAACAACCAGACTAGCGGGTTTTTTCTATTTTTGGAACTCACTCAGCAGATGAAATCTTCCACCTTAGAGTGGAGGGAGTTTGCATGACAAATTCTTAATAAAGCACTCTTTCTGGAGTGTAGTTGTGTAAAGAGATGTAAATAAACAGATGTGTCCTTACCTCTTGTTCTGGAGAGTGACCCTCTTCTTTAACAGCCCTTTTCTTGAAGGCGCTAGCTTGCCAGGAACAGTGCCAGACAAAAGGAAGGGGATGTTTGGCCCTTTTGCCTGTCTTGTGGCACAGAACTCAGCATTGTAGCAGTGCTAGAGCATGCATCTCTTGCTCTGTAAGCCTGGGATAGAGTCTCAGAGGAATTCTCATATGGCCCTTGCATCGCTGCTGGGCTTCCAGTCCCTGTGTATGCTGGGGAAAGCCAAATTTCTATTTTGTTAAAAGAGATGGGTTGGAATGAATTGCAAGTAATTATTACCTAATCCGACCCACAGCAGCACCTTGCTGCGCGTGCACTTGTTGCTGCTGGAATGTCTGATACACCATGCAATTTTTAACCTGTCGCTTGACTGCGGCCTCTCTTTGGGTTAGAAGAAGGAAAGAGGTGTACCTCTATTTAAATTGTAAATTAGAAAAATAAGAAAACAAAAAAAAAAAACAAACAAAAAGACTGATGACCAACTGGTCTTAATTTCAAATATTAAACCCACTTGATTCTGCTTAGCTTTTAAAACCCAGCACTAGAGGGTTTATGTGCTAGAGAGAGAAAGATGAGTGAGCAGTCAGTAAGGTTAATCCACATCCTTTCTTCAGTCAAGCTATCTTCCCCAGGCCGTATGGGCTGCATGGCACAGAATAGTAGACCCCTGCCTGCTTTGAACATACAGGAACAGTTCCTACTGAAGGGAAAGCATTTCTTGGGAACTGTCTGGTATATTTTCAGATTTCAAGATGGATGTGAACTGCCAGAGAATGGTGGTTTGCTTGGTCTCTTTGCCTTGGGAGCCTGTTGCCAGAGGTGCTGAAGTTCTCTTTGTGTTGGGAGGACAGTGATCCTGCCTCACTGGAGTGAACTCGGTATGAAACCTTCGTTTCCTGTCTTCAGGAGGCACCGGCTGGCAGTAACTGGCAATGAGTGTAAAGAACATCCCTGGAACAGACTGCTCCTGGCCAAGGACACGGTTTTGTTCTGTCCACTGCAAATCACTGATTTCAAATACTCAATTCCAGTGTGTTTTGTTCTGTTTTGTTTTGCAGATTGGCAGCAGAGCTGTGCTTATAACAGGTTGTGACTCAGGGTTTGGATTTGCCTTGGCCAAGCACCTGCATGCCAAAGGCTTCATTATTTACGCTGGCTGCCTGCAAAAGGTAGGGAAAACAAAAACTGTATTCTTCACCTGTGGCACGTTCACAGACATGGAGCCAATCCAATCTTCCCTCTCCACTCTGCACAGCTTTCTGCCAAGGAGAGGGAGGGTGGTTGGTAGCCCAAAGGGAAAGACACGGGTGCTTGAATTTCATAGAGCATAACCTGGTCTAGACCAGAACCGGGACTGAACGGTATCTAGGAGGGTTCCTGTTTGAATCACAACATTGTGGTCTGTTCCATATCTGATGGACTGGAACCCCAAAACTAATTTTATAGGCTTATCCATAAGCAAATTTTGGGATCAGGTTGAGTCTGGACCTTTGGCCCTGCTCTCAGACTATACATATTTGCTCAGGGATTATTTTGATTAATTGTGACATACACCAAGGCACCAGTGATTTTATGGCATGTGGTATGACCGTATTTTTCTATATTCATGAGTACAGCCATGCCTCAGTGTGTGTTGGGGGTCTCCTGAAATTGCTGTGAAGGCGATAGAATTCTACTAGTGCAAATGAGAGCAGAATCAGGCCACAAATAGCTTCGCGACGCAGTCTTGATACGCTCTCCAGGAGCGCTCTGTATGGCAATCAGAGATGCCTGGTCATGGAGAACAGGAGAGAGCTTCAGCCTCTCTCTCCTTATGAAGCACTGCACTTTTTTAGCTGCATGGCCGTTTCCCAACAGAAACAAACTTACTCCTTGGGATATCCTGGGGTGGGTCAGTCATTTTGATCCTAATCTTTTAGCTCACTCATCACTGTAAATGTACCTTGAGTAGCTACATTATTTAAAAAGAATTTGCCAGGTGTTTTTTAATGTTATCAATACTCTTCCTGCTGTTAATTTTTCCATTATTACTGAGTTTTGTTTAAATTATTAGTTTCTTTCTGCTGCATTTTTTTCAAAAAAGAAGTTTGTGTTTTGATAGCTCTGTCCCTTGTGGTGTCTCAGCTTTGGGTCAAGGGTTTATTTGTTAACCTGGGCTCCCTCTACAGGCTTCACAGCAGAACAAGACACTTCTTATAAACTGCTGCTTTTCAAAAGGTGTCAAAAAGCAAGTAGATGAGTACTTTTTTGGCAGGTGTTTCTACTCAGCTTTTGTAACTGAAGATCAACATTAGACAACATAAGAACGTTTCAGACTTAAAAACCACTGTGTAGAATAATAGCCTGCCTCTATGTTGACAGGAGCCAAAAATTTCAGAGCTGCAAAGTTATTTCTGGGTTTCACTTCCTCTGTCTGAGCTGCCAGAAAGACGCAATTTTCAGCGAGCATGTCTTTAACTGTCACTGGAACTTCCCTTCCATTTTGGTGTCTTCAGTACTCATTCTATGGAATGCATGTTAGTGGAAAACCTTGGCCTCTGACAATTTTAGCATAAGCTAACATGCAGCAGCATGCCAGAACTCTTTTAGGCTTTGATCAATATTTATTTCCTCGCCAGAAATCAGCAGAGAGCTTTGCTGTATCGCTGTGTAATTGAATATTGCTTCTTTAGCTGGACTCACATCCTATGTTCCAAAATCTGTGTGACTGTGGCAAGACTGGTAACAGCAGTTGTCATCAGAAAAACACTGTAAAATGCCAAAGCTTCTTAGTTAACAGGTTGGCCTCCCATGTGTCTTCAGGCCATACACTTTATGTAGAACAGCTCTGTAGAACTAAAACAACTCCAGGAGACTGAGCTGACTTCTCATTGTGGCACAGGTTTCACTAGCAAAACCATAAGCAGAATTCTGATCAGAGTGTAATTATTGCTGGTGCTGATTTTAGGGGCAGAAAAAGCCTGGTGTGTTCTTAGATGCTAGATAGAAGTGGAGGTAGAAATAAGAAGCATCATCTTTTGCTTGGGTATATTTGACCTAGCCCTGACGGAGAGGAAATGACTATGAAACTTGAGTGTTACTTTCATGCAACTGTTTTTCACAGCACACCTGCACATCAGAAGCATACTCCAGCTTGGGGAGCCGTCGTGTCCTCAGGGTATGCACTGTTCTTAGGAACGTCACGTCCTTATTGCAGATTAAAAGTGTGTGCAGTGCTGACTCTTCATCAGGACAGGTTTCCTAGAGTGGCCAGATCCTGAGCACCTGACTGTTTTTACTGAAGGAAACTTGAGAGAGGTGTTTAGATTCACGGCTGAGGGGAGCCCAAGGATGGATCTGTGCTAACAGTGTGCTGTTTCACACACAGTTTCTTCTTAACATTTTCACTGGCAAATATATTCATGTGAGCGTTGTGTTGATGCTTCATTGCCAAAAGACAGAGGTAGACTGGATCCAATGAACGATCACACTGCGGCTGTCTTATTTTTTCCTCTTTGGTTAATAGCTGGAGGAGCCAGCTGACACAAGATGAAGAAGGTATTTTTCCATCAGTATCTGTTACCAGTGGACATATGTGATGTTTGTCATGGCTGTCAGGAGTGTGGTGGAATCCCTGTTTGCTTTGCTTTCTGCGCTCAGGCCTGTTGGGGCTTGCAGGGGGATGAGAACGCAGAGGTTATCTGAGCCAGCCAGCATGCAGGCCAGTTACTGTAGGGCTCAACAAGAGTGCTCAGAGTCACAGGGTGTTACATACCACTTCAAGGACACGCTGATAAAGATACAAGCTGAAGCCCATGGGCCCCCGAGGGTGACCATGGAAAGAGAAGATGAGTCAGTGGTGTGCTTTTTCAGTATGCAAGAGCTGGGTCCTCTTGCCCTGGGGACAGTAGACCCTGGGACCGACAGGAGAGATGTACTGGTCTCTTGGCGTAGCATGAGAAGGTCCTTCCACTGCTGCGTGTGGGCCCAGCGGTTGTGGGACAGGCCGTGTCCTGTGCTAGGAGAGCATGACACAATCACAGGGTGCCTGACTTAAACACCACCTATCTGCCCTTTCTGAAGAGCCAAGGGAATGGCCCTGTGGGTCTGGGTTAATGCCCAGAGTCCAGCTCTTGGCCGGGATCCCAGCCCCAAGGGTCCCTGTCCGAGCATCCAGGTGCATGTGGGTGTAAGGGCAGGAGGGATATTGGCTTCCTGAGCCAACCCTGTAAAGGAGGAAGAAGAGGATGCTGTGAAGGTCCCAGCAGAGCTTCAAGACCTCTGAGGCTGGTGTATTGCTGTGGTCGAGAGATTTTGTAGCACCTCGTAGACGTGGGATCGGGGAAAGAAGCACCTTGGCCTTACTGTTCTTCCTCTTCCCTTTAGCCATATCTGCTGTTTCCGAGGGACTTGCATGCTTGCATTTGCTGATGCCCTATTGGCATTCCCACGTGTGCCACTTGTATGCTTTTCAGTGCTTTGCCATACAGACTGGCTTCAGCACCACAGGGCTGTTGAGTGAGCAGCAAACTTAGCACAAAACGCTATTTTCAGTCACCAATAAAGGCAAACACCACTAAGCTGTGCATGGGACTTTTAACATCTCCATTTTGTATGCGTTATGCTTCTGTGTGCAGAGAGTGCAGTAGTGTGTCCTTCTCTTAAGGACAAGCACTAACAGGTATTAATAGTCTTCAGTGGAATAAGGAAGGGTGAAGACAGAGGAGACATCAGGTACTTAAGTTAGTGAACTGTCTGTGAGCACAGCGGATAAGCCCAGGAGTAAGAGGAGCCAAGAGAAGGTGTTTTGGAAGACCAGGTGGCAGAGAGACAGGGGGATGTATGGCCACCCTCATGTGGTATCTAAAGCGTGATGTCTGAAGGTGACTCTCACTCTGGGGGGGCAGATGGGCAGCCTGGGTTCAGACTGCAGAGATGAACACCCATCTCATTGACAGCTGACTACAGTCTCTGACAGGGAGCGCCTGTGGCTCGAGGTGCTTAGAATGAGCTAATGTCATTTAACTGTCAGGAAACAGCCCTGCCATGAAGAACTGGCCTGTTCCACGTCAAAGGAAAAAAAGCTATGTATCCAAAAAAGCCTCATTTATCGCAACTGCCTTGTAAAAGCTCAGGAGTGAATGATGCTTGCCTGCTGGTGCTGACACGGCGAGTGGGGCTACCTGGAGGGTTGAGTGATGGGGGAAGAAGAGCTGAGCAGCTGTCAGATGATCCTGTGGGACACGCTCCATGGCTAGCCTGTTAATGGGGAGTAAAAGACTTCTGGTGATGGATGATGTTGAGGGGACAGAGGGAGTTTCTCACAGTAAAGACAAGGATGTTCCCAAAAAGTGGTTCTTTTCAGAGCTAGACCTCACCATCCTCTACAAAAGTACCCTGGAGTGGCTAGCACAGTCCAGTAGCTTATAACCATGGGAGTGATTCAGGGATAGTCCCAAACTCATATTAATATCCCATGTCTGTGTCCTGGAAGCACCATAGCCAGGGTTTACCACTGTGAAGGGACTAGCTCTGGGCATGGCAGCCTTGTTGCTAGCAGCGTCTAGCCCATGTGGGAGGTATCTCAGGGGTTGGCCACAGTTACGTGGCTGGGCTGTGAGTGGATGGGTGTATACTGGGGCAATCTGTTGTTCTGAGCTGAGAAAAAAGGAGTGGAGATGGGAAATGGGAGTGAGAAAAAGCTCACAGGGAGAGACAGAGAAGAGAGCAAGATGCTGGAAAAGACAGCAGGGGGAATTGCTAGCAGGCAAGCTGGCCCAGCACCTGATGATGGACTCTGTAGGAGTCCACTGGAGGCAGTGGGTAGGTTTCCAGGCAGTGGGAGCTGTGTGCGTAGATCAGCCGAAGGGGGAGAGCAGTGGGCAGGCAGTCCCTCTTCTAGGACTGTCACTCCCAGAGCTGGCAACGTGACTGAGAAGCACATGCAACGTACATGGGCAGCCACTCCCCGGCTATTTTATACCATACCCCCACCAAGCTATTTGCTGTGCCCCCGTATGCAAGCCAAAGTGAGGATGGCACCACATTCCCACCACTGCGGTAGTGGGACATAGCTTGATCTCAGGAGCTTGTACTGGGCAGAAGTTGCCTTGCTGGGGCTGGTCCATCTCCGGCTGCTTTCTTGGTGGTCGAAGCAGTTTGTACCAGCTGACTCGGTGGCAGGGCTCATGGTCAGCTGGAATGGTGTTCTGCTGCAGGAGCAGCCCTGTCTGTTCCCCCTCCTCTTAGAGCTGCAGGACTGTCCTGATTATTCTGACTGCCCTGTGCAGTCTCTTTTGCTTGATTGGATGGTTGCTATGCATTTGATCTTCTACACAAGCTCTTTGGCCAGATTCAAGCCAGCACTTTCTTCCCCTCTAGGACAAGGGAGATGGTGGCTCCAAGGATCTTGACAACATGAACAGTGATCGAATGAGAACTGTCCAGCTCAATGTCTGTGACAGCAAAGAAGTGGACCGAGCAGTTGAGCATGTGAATAGCAGCCTGGAGGACCCAGAGAAAGGTAGGTGCATGCAATGGGCTCTGAGGTCTCAGAGATGGCAGGAGCTCCCTCAGCTGGGCTCTGAGAGCATTTTCAGGGTGTATTTCAAAAGCTGAGCATATGATTGAAGGGCACAAAGCTTTGAGGAGCAGCAGTGCAGAGCAAATGGCCTATTTAAATGTTGTGTCATATCAGAGAGCAGCTTCCCAATTAATAGAGCATCTACAAAAAAACCTGCTTTTTTCTCCACTAGCTCCTATAGGGACATTAGCAGAAATCAGGGTGGTGTTCAAGGCCCTGGGATTAGTGCTTTATTCCTGTGACCTGAAGTTTATTATGGTGACTCCCTTTACATTGTAAAACCTGGCCAGTGCCCAAAGATTGGGGCTTAGCAACAGAAATGTCTACCCCAAGCTTTCAAAGGGCAAAGGAAATGGAGAGGTTTTCCGAAGGATTTCCCATGAAGCCAGCTGAATATCATTAATGCCATTGCAGATATTACCATATATTACAGATTTCAGAGTTCAGGGGGTAGCTGTAACTGACTTTCTTAGCCTGCCTACCTCATTCTGCTGAGGTGATGACAGCAAATTCTACTCCAGTACTGTGAAAATCCCAGTTGCTCATGCATTCCTGAAACCTTTCCACCCTTTGGTGAACTACATTTTTCCTGTAAAGAACATCCATGCTTCAGCCCATGAAGGTTGTTTAAAAGCAGAACAACCAGTAATGTTTTATTTTGGATTTTGCATAAACCTATTTCTTTTCTTTATATTTAATTTTTATATATGGATCTTCTGTATAAATTAAGTTTTCTAGCCATGTATTCTCAAGCATAGGCCAGGATGAAGTTGCCTTTTCTAGGCTGCTTCTGAGAACACAGATCTGGACACAGTCAGTCAACAGATAACAGTGAGTTTTTCTAAACAGCAGAAAGAAGCCATCCCAGACCTTTCTCAGTCTGTTTCCTGTGCAGTTAGAATATTATAAGAAGTGAGTTAATTTTATTCCAAATTCCTTTTAAATCTTCCTTTTCATTGCCAAATGAGTTGGTAGCTTCAGTTGTTGCCATCTTGTTTGCAGCAGAATAAAAGGGAGAGGTCGTGGCATGCATGCCCACCCATGTCCACCCATGCCCACATCCCCCTTCCCAGCATTGCAGACATTCTAGTTCTTATGGTGACACAAGGGATTTTACTTTGAAAGAATTACTCTTTTGTTTCTTACAAGGTCTTTCCTATTCTTATTATTTGCATTTAGAGACTATATTTTGCTTCTTTTAAAAAATCACGATGGATAAAAAGAGAATGGCAAGGAGAACAACTTAGACAAGGCTGAAGTTCTCTGTTTGCTGGCTCGGAACTTCCCAGGAAGCCTCATTCACGGTACTTTGTGGCTGCAGTGTTGGGCAGTACAGGCAGATCCTGATTGTGGTTATATTTGCTCAGGAGGCTGAGGTTCACTCTGGCCTCTCTTCTGTCTCGCTTTCATCTTTACAGGTCTTAATGAAAAGTTCCGTTGTGTGATTCCATAATCTATCAGCAAGGCCTTTTCCATGCTGCTCTCGTAAGTGTCGCAGAGGGAAAGCTTTCTGCTTGATTTTGTCTTCCAGGGCTCTGGGGGCTGGTTAACAATGCTGGGATCTCCACATTCGGGGAAGTAGAGTTCACCAGCATGGACACCTACATGGAGGTAGCTGAAGTGAATCTGTGGGGGACTGTGCGAACCACCAAGGCTTTCCTCCCGCTCATCCGGAGGTCAAAGGGTGAGTGATCTCCTCCAGACTGGCACTTCTGGAGTGGGTCCCCTGTCCTGCCCCATGTCTTGCTGTGTCAGAGGCCAAAAGGTCTATTAAGCTTCTCCCTGCACCATTGGTCACCTTCATACTTTTACAGACAGAATGTGACCCACAACATACACACAAATGACAGATTTCGTAACCACTCTGAGTTACACAGCAAGGCAGCAGTCCTGAAAACCGGTTATTATTTCTCTTTCCCATCTGTGTTGCCTTCTCCTGCAACATCCCATGCAAGATCTAATCTGTCATACCTTCTTTTACCTGTTCAGAAGCTGCAGCTCACCATAAATTCCAGTGCCAGGAGCAATCCTCCCCTCTATACAAAAAGCAGCTGTGGCAGTGCTGGGCAGGGTGGGTAGCAGCAGTGTATCTTGTGTGCAGCTTGCAGGGAAGTTGTCGGCTGTGCGCTGTGTTACATTGGGAGGTGGGGTTTGTACAGGAAAGGAACACAGACCTGGAGCTCGCATGGGTCTTGGCATAAAGGGGCAAAAGCTTTCCTGTACTGGGGCCAACTGCCTGACTAAATGAGAATATTTTTTACTCTTGAAGCATCCACAGACATTAACAATGTTGGTTTCATAGTCCTGTGCTGCAGACCTGGGCTGTATGTGGCCCAGGGAGCATTTCTTACACCACGGAAAGTTATCCACTTCTGTGGTCAAGGTTTCTCTTTCTAACCCAACTCAGCAATGAGCGCTGAGGGAGAGTGCAGAGAACTGCAACCTCTGACTAGACTGCAGCATCCACAGTCTCCTACCAGCAGTCTCCCCAGCCAAAATGGACGGCTTCTGCAGAGGAGAAAGGCCCCAGCTTTGTGCCTGGAGTCATAATCCAGCTGTCACACAGGAAAGGGTGCAGTGGACCTAGACTGCTCTGCCATTTGTGGTGCAGGAGCAATCCATTCCCTTTCAAGAGGCAGACATTATAAGCCACCATTGGGCTTCTAGATTTTGTGCCTTTGACTTGCAAATAAACAAGCTCAGCCTTGGTGCCAGAGGCTTTCTCTGCTGCACCTTCCTCTTGTCTGGGCTCAGCCCTGATCGCTGCTGAGCAATCCTGTTTCCCACCGTGCAGGTTCCGTCCAGCCTCTTCTGTGTTCCCCATAGCACGGAGCTTTGTGTGTCACCATGTGCCTGTGCCCTCAGGTGTAACAAGCCAGGGAGCGCAAGCAATGGGCTCGTTCTCCTGCCTGAAGGCCATTGCATAGGACAGCAATGCTCAGATAGAGCCACCAGCAGGTCTGCCAGGCAGCCCTTGCAGATACGCAGTGGGCGGGTGGATGCACGTTCAGGAGTCCGTTGGGTGGTGCGTGTCAGGTGCCTGCTTTGGGTCAGGTACCACAGCTCAGCTGTGCTTTGCCTGACCTCTGCCTAGGTCGAGTGGTGAACATCAGTAGCATGATGGGTCGGATGGGCAGCCCTGCCCGGTCACCGTACTGCATCACCAAGTTTGGCGTGGAAGCCTTCTCTGACTGCCTGCGGTACGAAATGCAGCCCCAGGGAGTAATGGTCAGCATCGTGGAGCCTGGCAACTTCATAGCTGCCACCAACCTGTACAGCCCCGAGCGAATCAAAGCCATAGCCGACAAAATGTGGGACGAGCTCCCTGAGATAGTGCGCAAAGACTATGGCAGGAAGTACTTCGACGAGCAGGTCAGCAAGATGGAGACATACTGCAACAGCGGCTCGACAGACACCTCGCCCGTCATCGAAAGCGTCGCCCATGCGCTCACCTCCACGGCCCCCTACACCCGCTACCACCCCATGGATTACTACTGGTGGCTGCGCATGCAGATCATGACGCACATGCCTGCTGCCATTTCAGACCGGCTCTATGTCTATTGAGGCCTCGCGCTCCTAGGCTACCCAGGTGGGAAATTTGTTTTAAAGAGAGCATTGCACACACTTCCCATTAGTCGTTTTTAAATTTTTCTAACCTCATTTCAGAGTACTGTATTTTAGCTCTAAAGGGTTCATTTAAACATCTGACATAACCTAAAGGGCAGTAATTGACAAGGGATGCTTCATAGGCAGGAATACATTAAGTTTGTGCAGGGACATTGATTCTTTGCTATTTATTTCATGTAATCTTTTTTTTTTTCACCTCAAATGTCAAGCTAAAATAATTATTTAAAATGCAATTGCTCTGAAGTGTTTTCAGAATAATTTCTGCTGATGGCTGAACATGATCTTCACAATTCCTGCCTAGGATGCAGCCTTCACACCATAAAACAGAGGCCCTCCATGCTGTAACGGCAAACTGTTGTCTCCTGATGACAAAGAGTGTCCAACAGACTTTTCCAGGCCTGGTCACAGTAGCCCAAGGCAGAGCAGAGACTTCTTTAATTTGGGGATCCGAACTCAAAATGCTCGAGGTGCTGAAACTGAGCAACTGACCCTGTCCCTTGCTCTCTTAGAGTTATACTGATGAAACCATAGAGAAAAGGAACCAGTCTGCTTTTCTTGCATGCTTTCTTGCAAAGGAGTTTAACAATCCAGGGACTCAATCCTGCAGACCTTTCCCACAGGAGTTACTTACTCATATGAGCATTCCCATGAGTGTGAGCAGCTTTACGCACAGGACTGCAGGCGTCGGAATTGGCCTGTAGTAACATTTCTCTTCTCTTTAACAGTAATTGAATATCGACTCCAGACTTAGTTTGGAGAAGAGTTTCACTCCAGCTCCTATAATTTGTGAGGCTCACTGCTGAGCAGAGGGAAGCGGAGAGGGTTATAGTCACATCAGCGAATGCCGTTCTTACCAGGGACCTCAGAGTTACACCCAAGTATTTGTACAGCACCTTGCACAGACGGGCCTTAACCCTGACCAGGGCCACTAGGCACTATTGCAGTGCAGGTGATGATAACAGTACTGACTTTCCTTGAAGGAGTCACTGAGCTGAAATACATCTAACATGATAGAAATCTAACAGAACGTCCATAACAATAAAGTTACCTTTAAGAGCAGTTTCATTTCCATGATGGTTGTTTACATGTCTGAGAAACATGTGTTTTGTACTGTAAGAAAAGAAAAGAACCATAAAAGATCCTTTCATGGGAAAATGCGGAAAGAGTTATTTTTTTTTTAAGCTTGAAAGGCAAAAAAACAAACAAGTAATTAAAATACCATTGTTAGCAAAGTTAAAGAGAGGGATCTCACGCACTCTAGTAACATACCGTGACAAGATCAAACTCCTTTGGCTTAATAAACATATACATGAATGGTAATAAAATTCAGAGGCTCCTTCTCTTTTTTTTTTTAATATTTAAGGTGAAAAGCTCATATTCGTTAGTGGTGGGTTTTTTTAATTTGGTGAGGTTTGTGCCTGTTACGCATACACACTGCATTCAGAGGCTGATTTGCAGTCTTGGGTCTTGCATATCCATGTTGGATAGTGCAAGACTTCTACAGGAGTACCGGATGTATCTCTTGACAAATATGCCTAACCCCTGGATTCTGTGTATTCGCAGCTCTTAAACCTGTATCTGTACCAGACTCCCACAGATTACAAAGGATTATTATGGATTATTCCCAGGGAGTGGGAGGAGAAACCGAGCTCTGAAGAGGGGAGGGGGATGGAAGTGATTCAGCAGGGCAGGCATGCAGCAGGTCACTGACAGACCCAAAATAAAACCCTGGGAGAGACCTGCTGGCTTTGTGATCTTCTCCAGAGTCTTAGCAGTGGTAGCTGCATCTTGTGGTGCAGGGAGGAGTATCGCCTCATTTTCCGATCAGTGGACTTCTATCTGGGACAAGACGTAAGAGTACGAACCACAAGAGACCCAGCAGGCACAGGGACTAACTTGCAGTGCAGAGCAAAACACCTGGATAACAATGTTTGCTGCAGATGACACAGCAGTAAGAGAAAAGCCTTTACAAGAAAAGTTCTTGTAGTGTAAAAATTTAGCCCCAAGGTGCTAAGTAACACAAAAAATCATGCAATTCCACTTGGGATGCAAGGCCCCAATTTTACACATGTTGCTGGGTTTTAATACAGACATCAATGAAGTTAGGTATGGAAAAGACTGAGTGCACAGCTGAGTGCTCTCAGTTTAGCTCAGAGCAAACGTAGGAGACGTTTCACGGTACCACGTTCATTCCCAGCCAGAAAGATGAAGCCAAACAGGGGTAACTGCGCTCGCGTCTGCACAACATCCCTTCTGGAGGCTTCTAAACCCTGTCGCGTGAGGTGCCCACAGGGAGCTCTGAAGCCGTGCCACCGCTCCGGGGCCGGAGGAGATGTGACGGTACTGCTGCCCCGCAGCGCGATTCATAGGGGACCGCGTGGCCAGATACGATGGGGAGGCGATGGCCAGGATGCTCCTGTGCATCATGGCCGTTCCTAGGTTTCTGTGCGAGTTTCCTGACATGGAGAGTTGGGTAGCTGATTCGTGGTCAGGAGGGCAGCAAGCTGGCTAGTTTTCCTGCTGGGATCTTGGCAATCCCACAGTTTCAGGGTTTGCCCTGAGAAGCGCATTAAAAGCTAATCCCCTCTGGTTTTGCATGACTGTCCTTGCGACTCAGTGCACTCTAGGTCCTGCCTGCATGGTGCCACCGTGGCTCCTGGAATGGCTTCAGCCCACAAAGTTTATTAGAAAACTAAAAAGAGCAAAAGCATAGCAAAAGAGGACTTGGCCGGGCACCCGGTCCTCTGCACTCCCTGAGCTGCCTCAGTGGGAGCTTCTGCCCACTCGGGAGGAGCTGGGGAGCCTGGAAGGGTCAGTTTGCAGCCGTGTCCAGCCCTGGGCTCTAGTCTGATCCCAGCTGGCTGGAGGGAGGGCTCTCTCTTCCCACATTTCTTGCCAAGCAAAGACCGTTGGCAATGATACAACGGATCTCACCGTGCAGCATCCCTTGGGCAACCTAGAGTTAAAAATAACTCTCCCTGGTGTGGTGGGAGGCAGCAGAGATGGGGTAATTTTAACTACAGCTTGTTCTGAGCCTTAATGAGGAAATCATGAAGTCCTACCCACTTCAGAACTTTTTGCTCCTAGCGATGAGGGTGGTGAAGGCTGCTTTTGAGACCAGCAGTCAGTGACTCTATTGCCACATTATCTGGATGAAATGCAGGGATTTCCCAGTAAAACAGAAAATAATCTCACAGCCAGGGAGTCTCACAGCTTTAGGAGAGCTGGTCCCATGCCTGTGCCTCAGCTCCTGCGTCCCAGCAGGGGCCTGGCCCAGGCTCCCCCGGGTGGTGCCTCAGCCCTGGGAGCCTGGCCGAGACGTGGTCCTGGGCTGGCAGTTTGGAAACAGGGCTGCTCTGGATGCAGAAAAGAGGAAGGGACCACTTCGGTTCAGGCAGTGTTAAATTGCTGAGCACAGGGTACCTGCCCCAATTGAATTAAACATAACAATTAAATAGATACTGAATTAAATATACGAGTGTCTCAGTTGCTGAGCCCCAAAGTCAAATCCCTGTCTGTGCTGAGACTGGGCTGAAGCCAAGGGGCCTTGCTCTGAAGCATACGTGCAGCTGCTGGTGCTTCGGGAACTATGGCTTTGAAAAGAAAATATCTTTCCAGCAAAAAAGGGAATCATACGCATAACTCGCAGAAGATCTGACGACACCTCCCTGGGGAGATGCCGCTCAGGAACACAGCATTGGTTTCTCTTCCCTCTTTCCCAACAGCGATGCAGGGCTTGCTGTGCAGCCTCGGGGTGCTGCAGGCTTACACTGGCGCTTCCCCGTGCGAGATGGAGCGCCAGCCTGGAACGGCCAAAGCAGCGAGTGGCAGGCGGCAGCGGCACCTCACGAGGGAGGGGTTCGTCCTCATCCTGAATGAGTGCACGAAGGGGGAGATGCCAGGGCCGGGAGCAGCCTGTGCACCGTCACACCCGGGCTATGCCACCCCTTGCCTCTCACCACCCGTCACCCGGACATCACAGCCCTCGCTGGGCAGCGGGTGAAAGGGATGCTGTAAACGTGCCCTAATTTTGGCAGTCAGCTGGGGTAGCGCACGCTCCGTCAGCTGGACAGACTGACTGCCTGGGCAGGCTCACCGTCACCCCCTGCCAGCAGAGCGGTGAGGGCGGTGACAGCAAAGACGGGGTCCCAGCTTGGCCGGTGTTACCAGGACTGCCACTCACGACCACGCAGAGAGGGACGTGCAGTGGCACAGATGCCACTCTGCAGCTCCCCTGCAACCGGTGAGGGACAATCGGAGGTTGCTGTCTACCACCTTCCAAAGGGCCCCAGGACTTCAGGGCTGCCTGGAAAACGGCAAATCAGGCTGCTCTGCTCCCGTAGCCAGAAGGCAGCTCACTGCGGTCTGCGGGAAGCGTAGGGGCGAGGAGTCTGGCTAAGATGTAGGTTGCTATCTTAAAATAATTTTTGCTAACACAGTGTTTTGTTTGCTATTGAGTGTGGTTATTCGAAGATGCCTTATTGTCAGCATCTGTCCCCGATCACAAATGAGTCTCTCTGTCCTTCTGGGACTTCACCACCACAATGAACTGGAAGACGGACAGGACCTGGCTGCAGGCTCCTCCAGTCATCCTCTCCCCTCCCTTCCCTCGCACAAGGTTGTGTAATTATTTGTGTGATAGGGAACAGCTTTAGCAGAAAAGCTTGGGAGACCTGTCCTCACCTACCACGAGTCCTGGGGAAGCAGAGCTCTCCCGAGGTGGGGGCACCCTGGTTTCACAGCCATGCAGCAAGCGGGTCGTCCCACTCACAAACCAGTTGGGATCAGACTGTGGTGCCGAGGAGCTGTGCCCTGGGAACCACGGCGGCCTCGCTGCAGCCACCCCAGACACGTGCAGCCCTCGGCGGGGACTTCGGCCCATCCTCCCTTTGCATTTCTGACAAGCTTCAACGTGCTGGTCCCTGGGGTATTTGCTCCCGTCACTGCTTACCTCTCCATCAGCATACAGAGCCAGGCACTGATGAGGGGTCATGCCTTTCCCAAGGGAAAAGAGGACATAGAAGACTAAAATCCACCTCCTGGGCTTGTGCAGGCATTCATCCTTGAGCACAACCTTACTTTATTGTCCAGCCAGAATCGCAAGTTGGGAAGTAACAGGAGCCTGCTCTCCCCCTCCCCAAATACCTGCGTGCCAAACCCCCTTGCCGGAGCCGGGGGTGAAAGTGTAAATGTTCCCGTCCTCATTTCTCCCTCGGCTGTGAATGTCAGAGCAGTAGCATAAAAAATGCGGTAACATCCGGAGTAATCACTGCAGTGGTAGTTCTGACTTCGCCTGGAGCAGGATGGACCATAAATCTTGCGAGATAACATGTTGCCACAGAGACTTCCAGCCAGTTTTTCAGGCCTTCAGAGTCTGAATGCTGCCGCTGCATCTGAACCAGCCCACCCAGGGCTGGGCATTGCTAGCGCAGAAAGCAGTAGGTTTCTGTTGTACCCATGGACACAGGGTGAGTATTTGCTGCTTCCCCTATCATGAGATCTTGGAGGTGTTGTGGGAAACCTTACCAGGATCCATTCCACAACACGGTGAAATTGGGGTATTTGTTGTTATGAGACTGAAAGTATAGCTGGTCTGAAGGAGAGACCAGGAAAAATTACAAAGATTGGTTCAACAGAAGCTTTGGGTTATTGTCATTGATGTCTCACCTTTGG